AAGTATGGAAAGAGCCCAAATGTCCATCAATGGATGAATGGATAAAAAAGATGTGGTATATATATACAATGGAGTATTACTCAGCAATCAAAAAGAATGAAATCTTGCCATTTGCAACTATGTGGATGAAACTGGAGGGTATTATGCTAAGTGAAATTAGTCAGAGAAAGACAAAAATCATATGACTTCCCTCATATGAGGACTTTAAGAGACAAAAAATATGAACACAAGGGAAGGGAAACATAAATAATATAAAAACAGGGAGGAGGACAAAACAGAAGAGACTCACAAATATGGAGAACAAACTGAGGGTTACTGGAGGGGTTGTGGGAGGGGGGATGGGCTAAATGGGTAAGGGGCACTAAGGAATCTACTCCTGAAATCATTGTTGCACTATATGCTAATTTGGATGTAAATTTTAAAAAAAGTAAAATTAAAAAAAAGTACTTCAAATGGATTCATATTCAATATTATTGATAAACCTTATGTCTTGAAATATTAGCTAATGAAGCCCTTTAATGGCAAAGATTTTACAATATTTTATCTTCACCATCCTTTACATTTTGGGTTTTTTTCCTGTGTATATTTTATAATGTACAGTAATAAATCTACATGGTTTATAAACATACATTTATAGGTAGACACAAAATTCTTTTACTGACAAGGATATATGATTAAATGTTCAGAGGCCACCAATCTAGGTCCATATGAGAAATCAGTTCCTAAGCTCATTCCAGACACCCAGTCCTTTGCCTTTATTCCTACTTAGTTCTGGATCTGAAATTATATAGAGTTACACCAAATTACTGTACTTTCTCATTTACATCTAAACTAAGAATTCTTAAGAAAAGTTACAGCACAATGACATATTTTTATAACATTTTAAACAATACAAACTATTCATTCTCTCCATTCATGAAAATCTATTAATTAAACCTGTCAAATCACAGCCAACTTGCCTTACTAAAGGCAAAGACATAAAATATAATATCTTAACTCTATGCATAAATAGAAAACAGGAAATCTTTTTACTTTTGAAACTTGGCTGTTCTTTAATGACTTCTAGCTTCAATTTACCTACTTGTGGGGAATGAGAAATGGCTGTGGGGCTTCGAAAATGTAGGTAATACAGAATCCTCCCCAAACTCAACTACAAATACTTCTTTTTGAAGTGTTCATAAAAAACAGCAATTTTCTGAAACACTGTTGTTGAGTCTGGCAAACTTCAGAGTTCAAAAGCACATGTACTCTACCTTTATCCCCAACAAAGCTAGCAGCTACCCTCTAAAACAGGGGTTGTCAACATTTTCTTTTCCCCAAACTGCAAAACGGATTACAATCACATGTGTATACATGGTGCCATGCCCTCTTCCCTAAGTTATTATAGAAAAAATAAAGCAAGTAGTGTTAAGGATATCTGGGGTGGTGTTATGAGGGCACCGCTCACAAAAGAATTGTAGTACAAAGATAGGAGATCCTTTCGTTAAGATATTTCTTAAGGTAATATGACTAATATCAAAGTTTTAAAATATTGAATACTATATTTTGTAGTACATTGTATTTTTAATATGTTAATTGAAAAAATTACTATTTTATAAAAATAAGTTGACTTTTCTAGCTCTCCAGTTCAGACACTCTTATTAGGTGACTAGATAGCACTGGTAAGTAAGTATTTTGGGTTCCTGGACCCAATTTCAATGTGTATTGGCAGAGGTAGTCTTTACACATAGAATAAGCAGTGCTCTGACACCAACAATTCAACTCAACTCTGACATTATTTACCTGGAGATAGATAGCATCAGATCCCACGGGCTAAGGGGTCAGTCCTTCAAGACTGTTACCTCCTCTCCCCTCACAACACACTTCAGACCCATACAGGCTGTTACCTGCTCTTCTGACGTCTGGCTATAAATCTTAAATTCCCATGACACTCTTCTCCATTCAATTAATTTGCTAGAGTGACTCACAGAACCCAGAAAAACATTTTACTTACTGCAAGTTCATTATAAAAGGCTATGAACTCAGAAGCAGCCAGATGGAAGAGATGTATAGGGAAAAGTACAGGGAAAGGACCTTGCAAGCCCCCTCCAGGTGGGTCACTCTCCCCAATCTCCACCTGTTTATTAACCCAGAGCTCTCCAAACCCTGTCCTTGTGGGGTTTTATAGAGGCTTTATTACATAAGCACGATTGATTGACTCAATGGCCATTCTCCTCTCTCTCCCCTCCCCAAAGGTTGGGGGTGGGGTGGAGACTTAAAGTTCCAACCTTCCCATCACAGGATTGGCTCCAAAGGTAACCAGATGCCATCCTTATATGTTTTCCAAAACCATCTCATTAACATAAAAGACACCTTTAAGTTCTCATTACTTAGGAAGTTCCAACGGTTTTTGGGAGCTGTGAGTCTGGAACCATGAATAAAAAAACAAATATATATGTACTTATTATTAATAACAATATCACATTAAGCTTTGTTAAAAAGAGAAATACCTAATAGTTATGCATTTTAGCATATTGAAAATATCATCATTTCACCTGCTTTATCACTTTGTCTACATTTGACCCAGTAATCCTATCATTGTTGATGAATTTTTTTCTTCTTCACAGGAACTATACAGCTATATTCACTTTTTCCCAGTATCTTTGCCTTCTTTTTAAAAAATGTTCCTGTTAAGAAAAAACAGAAACATGAAAGGACAACCCAAGCACTAAGCTAGCTTGCCTACCCCCGTGTGTTGTTCCTACTGTAGTTAAGGCTAGAACTTCACTGTCGATCCAGAAAAGCATCTCTGAATTCAACTGAGAATATTTCTGTAGAAAAATTTAAATGGTCTCAAATTTAAGAGCAGTTATTTTAGTCATTAACAAGAATTTATTCATGATGTACTTCATACCTGATCATGACACTCTAACAATACAGATTAAGAACCGCTACTCAGAGGTGTCACAGGCAGCACAAAGTCAGGGGCTAATGGGCAGATCCCACCTTTTCCATATTATACTTCAAGATCTCAGCACAGAAACACTGTAATTTTGGTCTGATGGATGATTAAAACACTTGAGAAAAGGGCTGAAAAAGATGACTTGGTTATTCAATTCCTAATAGAATCGGCCCTTAAAACATTTTATAAACAAAATACAAAATGTATTTACTACATAATCTGTTATTTTAAATTCTGGTGACCCTTTAGACACCTTTTTAAAAAAATTTTTTTAATGTTTACTTTTGAGAGAGAGACAGAGTGTGAGTGGGGGAGGAACAGAGGGAGAGGGAGACACAGAATCTGAAGCAGCCTCCAGGCTCTGTCAGCACAGAGCCCGATGCAGGGCTCGAACTCACAAAATGTAAGATCATGACCTGAGCTGAAGTCGGATGCTC